AAAATAGCCAAATAAATAACATTAACAAATAACATTAAAAAAGTTGTATTTGTTTATTATGTAATTAAATAAAAAAGATTACATGTTTGAAATTTAGTCCCTCCCCCCCTCCCAAATGCCATTCAGAGAACTGCATTTACATTTAACCAGCTGCTGGTAGCCAGGAAAGATCGTGACAAATTTAAACCAAACGTACTATACTATAATATATTATAATATACTATAATAAAGATTAGATAGATAGATAGATAGATAGATAGATAGATAGATAGATAGATAGATAGATAGATAGATAGATAGATAGATAGATAGATAGATCCTATTTAAAATAGTGTATGTGCAGGGATTTCCAATATATCGCTGTCAGCATCGATATCAGCCATATCGATAGATTTTCTTGAATGTTTCTGATGATTTAGAGCACTTTATTACTGAGGCACTAAATGGTATCCATCTACCTGTCTGTAATTATAAATATTAGTGTATTTGGTCACTGTTGCAACAATAACAATAGGAAAACATGAAATAAATATAAGTAATCATCCTTTATGTTTGAGCTCCTTTTTAGCAAAACATCAAACCCTAACGAAAGTAGTCACGTCCTGTGGCTGCAGTTGCATCAGAACCCATCCTTGTAGAGTGGCTCCAAAACTTTCCATCACAAAGTTACACCCTTGGCCTCCGGTCTCCATTCTTATGGAGGGGAACTACAGTCACGGTCTGCCAGTCCAGAGGCACTGTCCTCGACCGCAATGCAATGTTGAAGAGATTTTTCAGTCATGATAACCAGAGAACAAAGGTACTCAGGGTGATCGCATCCATCCCGGAACCCTTGCCACTATGTAGGACCACTCTGGAGGGCCACCATGATGACTTTGGGCTGTGCTATAAATAAGTTTAGCCCTGAGAACCCAGTCTCTGTCTTTGTCACCAAAGGTATGTCAACTTGTTATAGGAGATCTTCAAAGTATTCCTCCACCATCAGAAAATGTCCTCAATCAAGCTCAGCAGCATCTAACTCCCACTAAATACTATGTTAACAAAGCACTGCTTCTACTTCCCCAGAGTTGCTAATGGTTTGCCAGAACACTTTATGGCCAGCTGGAATTCTTTCTCCATGGTCTCTTCAAATTCCTGCAGGCCTTCTGAAATCACCCAAGCAGGTGAACACTTGGCCTCCAGGTACCTGCTTGCATTACAGGAGTCCCACAAGCCGACCAGGCTTGGTAGGACTTCTTCCTGAGGTTGACAACATCCCTTACTCCCACACCACCATGTTGGAGGGTTGCTGCAATGGTCTCCTTCAGACATTCCTAGCAGACCCTTGCTACTCGCTTGGGCTGCTGATTGTACAGAAAGACATCATTTTGTTTGAACATGGTGTTAATTATAAACAAACTATGACTTGCACTGAAGTCCATGATGAAACACCACTCGGGTTCAGAGCTCGGGATCTATTCCTCCCAATTATGCCCCCTCAGGTTTAACTCTCATTTTTCACATGGGCTTTTAATGCAATCCATGAAAGGGGATCTATACATCATACGTGTCACTGCATTTCAGTGGTTTGAAGCATTTTTGTATAGGAGGCTAATGCATTTATTGGCTTCTGGCAAGATGGATTTTTGGGAGTCTGTGAATTCACAAATCTAGCAACAACTTATCTTGCTTGCAAGGTAAACAGAAATAGGTACCCGGGTAAAAAATAAAAGGTTAGTGAGTATATTTTGACATACTTGTAATCAGACTATATCATCAGCACACTTCAGGTAGGCTTTAAGGTCAGGATTTATCGGTTATTATCCTGAAGGGCTTGTGTCATGCACATTTCAGATGTGTCTCTGTTTCAACACACCGGCGCCAAATAATCAGATCATTAGCAGGACTCTTGAGAACTTGATTGGATGCTGAGGAGGTAACTCAGTAGTTTGATCCAGGTATGGATGCAGCTCGACCTTCAGAGGTTGCTCAAGATCATTACTCTGATATCTTTCTACCTGTGGAGTTAATGCTTTGTGAATCTCCTCAAAATAAACCTTATATTTTCCTTCCACACAGCTTTCCAGATTTCATGCTTGGTTGCATCTCTCTCTTTTAAAATTTAAACTTCTGTATAAAAAAATGCAAGGTTTGCAACATGCCCATTGACAGCCTTGGTCTTTGGGATCTGATGTCTATATCACAAACCAAACTGGTTATTTGGGAAACTTCATCTCTCAAAGTCTGAATTGAATTTTAGCTCCATATAACTTTTTTGTGTTTGGGATTAAAACATTATGAAGGCTTTATATCTGTTGCATATGCACTTTTTTGCATGTGCAAAGAGACTGTTTTTTTTTTTCTTCTTCTTTTTTTTTTTTTTTTTGCTTACCCAACCCATGGATAATGTAAGTTACAATAGCATATCTAACTTTTAATAATACTTAATTTTGCTAGATGGCACATTAAGAACGCAACTGGGCGATTTTGGCTCTGAAAACAAAAGTTTTTTCTAATTTAGTCTTTACAGACTTGAAGAAAAAAAGAAACGATTTAAACACAGTCTACATTTTCAGTGTTTTTTACAGGACTTTACTTGATGGGCCCAATTAGTATAGCCGTCCCACTGGTGCACAGTGTTGCCCATAGATATCTATGGTGTTGCCAACCATAGAGCCACGTCAGGCCTGTAGCAAGTGCTCATCTTCCTTTTGCCTCGCCAAGGTTAGAGATAGGCCCGCCCGACTGGCAGGAAGCACTCTGAGAAAAAGGGGGAGGAAAAAAAAGAAAAGAATATTCAGAGCCGGCAGAAACTCTGACGCCAGGGATCAGTTTCAGATTTTCTCCTACACACAAGCTTCAAGTGTAGGCTGCGACTTCTTATGTCAGCGCATATACATTTTTCCGTTGCTTGATGGAAACGCGCAATCATAAAAAATGGTTGCATTTGGAGACCATCCGTGAACGCGATCTGACATCTGTGCGTCAGAAAGGACACATCTGTAAGGACTGCTGGCGTGTGAAGAGTCCTCGCTGTACACCTTTCTAGCAGCGCGGGAGTGAAGGTGACTTGAGCTCCGACGCAGTGAAGGCAATGCGGAGAGGAGCCACAGGCGCTCTCCCTGTACTCTTTCTGCGCCCTCAGGCTCGTCTGGGATTTTTTTTCTCCCTCTCCCACAATAAGCAGAGGTAGAGACACAGAGCAATAAGAATACGTCGGGTTTCTGCAGGAGAAGGTGAACTGGGTATATAGGAAGGGAATAAGGTGAATGATAAAGGGTGCAGGGTGGGAGAAGAGCAGCAGCAGAGTTTCTTTTTGTTTGTTTTGTTTTTATTATTACTAATATTTGTGGCTGGGATCGGGCAAAATCCTTCTGTTTTGGGGTTGTTTTAATAGTGGATGTGTATGCATGAGTTCTGCATCGAATGGGCGCAAAAACCGCCCCAGATCCGCCGGGAACATCTTCCAGATCGGCAAGCCTCCATGCCGAGACCAGCAACGGAGGGAGAGCACCGAGAGTACCCGCAGAGCCCAGCGCGCCGTGGCCGACTGCAGAATGGTAGGTCTGCGGCACGTCGGTGCCTCTGACAAAAGGGTGCCAAGATTTCTTTGTTGTTAGACAATTGAGTGTCCTGTGCAAATAGAGATAAAGAATAAAGACTCGTTGTTCGCAGGTCTGCGTGAAAATAACCGTAAGCATTTATACTAAAGCCAAACAGACATGCACAAGAACTGTGTGATTTGCATTTAAAGTGGAAGGGAGAAGCTGATATGCTGAACACACTTGATTTGCATGAACATGAGTTAAGATGTTTGCAATCATGCCACAGCCGTCCTGCAATTTAACAGAAATGATAAGCCTTTACCCCAGGATACATCACCGATCGCCAAGCGGTCTGTGTTCATTTGTAGGGAGAATGGTATGCTCAACGCGAGCAAAAATGCCCGAGCCCCATACGCTTAGTCTTTCACTTCTAAAAGACTCCTAAATTGCAACAAAATTTTTTTTACATGCATATTGCAGTGCCTGTTCCTGGGTCTACTTGATGATCATTTGCCACTTTTTCTATGATGATCTCATGATTTTCTTCTGCAGTGGCAGGACAGGGGGAAATATACATAGTTTTTGTTAAGGAGGTCTGGGCCCCTTAGCAAAAGCCAGTTTTGGTGCCCTGCACCCACAATTACATTTTACTGATACAAATTACACAAAGCCCTATGGTACTTCACCTGATAAAGTCCATCCTGGGCTGGCTAACTAGAAGGTAATGTCAAAAACAAATTCCAGAGAGTTTAATGTATACTATTTATGTTAATGTGATGACATTTGAAATACACAATAAAAAGATCCTGCTCCTGCTTGAAATTATTTAACAAAGAGTCTCTAAGTTTGTATTGAAAACACTTAAAATATTTAACAGCACCCCCCCAAGTTAGGACGGAGATTGCAATCATCAAAATATTTCGATCACAAGTGGGTTTATGTCTTTCAACAAGTCACCTAAAACTGTAATCTTTCTTCGTCTGACTTTAATTCAGATCGTCCAAGAATTCAACACACTTGTAGCTTTGTACCGTGAGCTGGTCATCTCCATTGGTGAAATCACTGTTGACTGTCCTTCCTTGCGAGCCGAAATGCTGAGAACCCGAACCAAAGGCTGTGAAATGGCAAGGGCAGCACACCAGAGTCTCTCCTTACTTTCAGGGTAAGTTGCTGTCCTTGGTGCTGAAAATGATCACAACAATCACTACTGCTTTACAGGGATATATAAAGGGTTGTTTACATTTTTCTTTAAACCAAATTTCTTTTTTTTTAAGTATTTTTTTTTTATTTGCATAGGCATCACTAAGTTTGATCACAAAGTTTGTTTTGTTTTTCTAAGTCCCTGTAAAAGAGACAGCTCAAGGCAAAATGGAATAAGCAGCTGCTTTTTGGCCCCTCTGGTTATAAAGGTTCTCTCATACCACATGGATCAAAAAATATAAATTGTTGAACATTAATTTAATCATAGAAAATATTTAAAATTCAAAAAACTGAATTGAGGTGTAAAGTTTGTGTACAAACATATGTGATAGAACTGCTCTTGTTTAAAACAAAAAGCAGCAATTTTTCCTACTACTGCCAAAGTTGTATTATCCTTACAGTTATGATACTGATATGTTTACCATTTATAAAGCTCTGTCTTGATATTAAATCTTAAACTTAGAAAAAAATAGAATAGATATTGCTAAATTAAGTTGTAAGTTAAAAATCTTATTGCACAGAGTAGTTTGACACTTGAGCCATTCTGCCCTTTAGAGAATAACACCAGGAGCATTCAAGCAGCTCTTCACTGGTTAAATTTTCCAGGTATTGGCTCAGGTACAGCAAGCAGCTGTAAGCTGATCAAAAATGTTGTAGTAGCTTGCTAGCTTAAGAGGGCCCACCTTTATTTTTCACACAGTGAATGTCACAGTTTTGTAGCAATTAATATTTCAAAAAAAAGTTAAGATTATCATTCTTATAAGAAAGAAAAAAAAAGTCATAGCCTTCTATCAGCAATTTGATGACCAGAGCATAGCACCAGTTAAGGAAAAGTTAGCACAGTGTTGTTCAATTTTTCAGTCAGCCAGAGTAAACTTTTGCTCACCCCAGCACTTTCCCTGGTATGTCTTTAAAATTACTGTACAAGACATGAAGAATAAAAGGAAAATAAATATGAGTAGTATTGAAGAAATATGGACTATATTTAGTTACCTGATAGGCTTTATGTGTTAGTTCCTGTTGTAGTTATTGCAATAAATGACACAAGTGATTGAACTTCTGCTAAGTATCTCTCATCCCTATTTGATCTGCTTTTATTGAAAGTAATTATTTTATTTACTCACTATTTGTCAGCCAAAGCCGCTGCTTGTCTTCAATCTTGAGTCAAATTTCACAAACATCGTTACAATAAGTAACATTCCATATGTGTCTGTAAGCATTAATAATCAGGTTGATCTCTCCTTCCCAGTCTGCTGCATGAAAATGCTGCAATCTGGACATGGAGGTGATAAACGTACTGAGTTTGAGGAAAAACAGAACATGAGATCAGCTTTTAAAAATCATGACATCTCTAATTCACAACCAAAAGAGCTTTTCCAGGAAATTATTTCCACACTATGCTGTAACTGATCACTTCCATTTAGTGGTAGCTAATGCACAAAGTGGAGTGGCAGTGGGATGTTTTCCTGGACTAATATCTGAGATTATATTATCAATGGTGTTCATCTAATGATTTTTTTTTTTTTTTTTTTAACAATACTTTTAATACATTACGTTTTTTTTTTTTTTTTTTTTAACAATACTTTTAATACATTACGTGTGGCTCTTGATGCATTTAGCTGGTTCTGTGTTCTGAAACTTGTTTTGCTTATTTCTCTAACACTTAAGTGGCCATTATGAAACAATTTTCTTTTCAAACAACAACATGATAAGTAAAACTTTAGTTTCCAAGTGATCAGATTTTACACATCTGTATCTGCTGTATTTAAGGCTAATGTATTTGTTGGCTTCTAGCAGGATTTATTTTCAGGAGTTTGTGAATTCACACGTTTTGATAATTCATCTTGCTTACAAAGCAAACAGAGATAGGTATCTAAGTAAAAAGACAATATATTACATTTTGACATACTTGTAATCAGACTATATCATCAGCACACTTGCACTGCATGCTGAGTAGGTAAAGCTACCGAATTTGATTCAGGTGTGGATGCATAGACCCCTATTAAATGTGCAGGGCACCGGACCTTCAGAGGCTGCTTAAGATCATTACTCTGATATCTTTCTCCACCTGCAGTTAATACTTTGTAAATATCCTCAGAATAAACTGCATTTTCCTTCAAGGTAGTTTTCCAGATTTCTTGCTTGGTTGTAGCTCTTCAAAATACTGTTCTTTTGTGGCTTACACATCTGTATAAACAAATGCAAAAAACTAAAATGCTTATCTTTGGCCTTCGGTTTTACTGTTCGATCTGATGTCTTTGGGTACCATTAGTAACAATTCAAAACTTTTTTTTCTTAAGATGATTCTGACAATGTCTTTGGTTTGGGATTTGCATAATGAACATGCAAGTTGCAGCCTAGTCCTGGATGTACCTGTGTGTGGTACCCCTTCAAAGCACTGAGTAGTCCACACCAAGCAATTCTGTGTAAGAACACAGTCAGAACATTGCAACCTCAAAGTAGCAGGACGTGTTGCGATGTTACCTACAGTACTAGTAGTAATGAAAACATGTGCTTTTTTTTTCTTCATTTCTGTTATTAAACACAAAAATAATATATACAGAAACATGAATACTTCATAGAATCACAGTGTGTGACAAGTTTAAAGAGAAACAAATGCTAAGATTTAATGATCCTGGCCTCTTTTATTACATATTGGTAAGTTTAGAAATTGGATGGCTATATTATAAAAGAAACTGGTTTTGTTTGGTAAACTCCATCTTTCCAAGTCTGAATTTTAGCTCTATATAACTCTTTTGTTGCATTTCAGAGTAACCTGGGAAATAAAATCCTTAAGCAAAGAGAATGCACAGGAGGTGTAGTTGTTTTACAACATTTTGAAGGCTTTGGTTATTCCTGTTGCATATGCACTAACTGCTTGTTTTCCTTATACATAAATCTCGATTTATACGCAGCACCCTGTTGTGTTTAGCTTTTCCCCCCTACCCATGGATAATGTAAATAACTATAACTTTTAATAATCATTTATTTTGTTCAGTTGCACATGAGGAAAGCAACTTGGGGATTTTGGCGCAATTGAAAAGTTTATTTATTGTCTAGTTAGTCCTCATAGACTTGGAATAAAAAGCAATTGGACAATAGTTTACAGGATTTGACTAGTTGGGCCCTATTAGTATTCCCGGCTTACTGGTGCACAGTGCTGCCAACCACGTGCTACACAGCCACGCTGGAGTTTCCATTGTTATGTTTCACAACACACTTTTATTATATGGCCTTATAGTATATGGCCTGACTCTTAAAACAAAATCACACGGGGGGTGTTCAGGGTCCTCTGTAGTTGATGCTAGCTAAATTTGCCCACCAAACTTACCTAAATAACAATTAGACGGATTAGAGTTAATAGTGGCAGAGAGGAGAGAGATTTCGAGGATGTCTACTGTCGAAGCTCTTTACATTCAGCTCCATATTAAGCTTATTGTTCTAATATGCCTCGTATCCCAAATCCCTTAATGATCTTTCATTATAATCAGTATCTTTCCGCAGTATTTTTATTTGGACATGTGAACTCAACTTGTTTGAATCTTATATTGACACATTTCATGAATTCCAACCCTTCTAAAATATATTTTACTTAACTGTTTGGTACTCTTACTTTACAAGTGTTGAAGCTGTTTTTAAATCTCTTTTTGTTTTAGGAATGTTAATGGTACAAACATCTTATGGTGAAACATTTATATGTTTTTAGTTTGCATTCCAGCATGGCTTTTACCCTCTATGGAGTCAGAATAGTGCCAAAAATGCACACACATAATAAATAGTGATATGTTCACTTTTATTTAAAACACACCTGAACATGTGTAGCTAATGTTGGTAGCTGCATCTAGAAAGAAAGCAGTACCCAAACAGCAGTCAGTCACAGGAAGTTTACTTTCTTAAATTGGTTCCACCCTCAAAGTGACAAAAAAAGTTGACCTGAGCACACAGAAACAGGTTCATTGGCAAGTAGGCAGAATCAACAGGCGCATAAAAAAATAAGCTTCAAACGCAGAGAGGGAGCATGCACTCATGCTTGTGTAGTGATGAGTTCATGAGGCATCATGAAGCGCTTCGACACATTAGTAAACTGTATTGACACTATGTCGATACTGTGTCACTGGATACTGACACCTGCTGGACATAAAACTGACACTGATTTGATTCAATCCAATTCAAAAATACTTTACTAATCCAAAAGGGAAGTTAAATTAAATAAATTGATGATCTATAATATGATTTAAGCCATTGTTTGCTGTAATGCCTTATTTCATTTCTTCCTTCAAATTGAAAATCCTTCTGATATATTTTTAGATTCAATCCATAATTAACATATAACAGAAAAATATAAGTGAATATGTGAATAAGGATGTTTGTGGACTCGGATGTATTTATGGAAAATAACTACAGCAAGAAAAGTAAACTAAGAGTCAATAAGTTGAGTGATAACAGAAACAGAATGAGACAACGAGAAAAATTAAAACAAATATGAGATTAAAACAGTCCCACTCGGCTGAAACCTTTCTTTTGCCTTGAGGCTACTACATATTTCTTAATTCATTTGATAATAAACTGCAAAAGATCCGAGATTTTATTTGGCAGATGCGTTGCCTTGACAGATGCGCTTATAAACACAGTTTAGTGTGTCAGTCTGTTTGAAACAGCTCCTCTATCAATCACGTGACTTTCTTGAAATGATATGCGAACCGACACAGGGCCTTTCTGTTATAGCTTGACACAAGCGGCGGCGCATCTGTGTTACTGGACCCATCACTATGCTTGTTACATATTGAGGGCCTCTTGTATTAAATCTGCACACATAAAATGTTTATAATTGTATTTTCTAAAAAGATATGACTTTGCATCTTTTAAGAATAAACATCATGGTGTTAATAGCATTTCTTGTTGTTGTAAACAACTCTTTATACAAATATTGTGTCTATTTTTGTCTCAGAGAAACAAAATTCACCAAAATCATTCCACTCTCTGCAGCAGACGTCCCCAATTTCCGGAGAAAGCCAGGGACAGGTGGTCCAAAACAGGGACCGTCCCCGGAGTTAAGGGGACAACTGGTCACCCTAGTCAAAGGGAGAATAGTAAACAACCAACTCAAAGATTACAAATAAATATTTCTCAAATAAAAAAAATTAAAAAATAAAATTTAGTGAGCACTATAGCCACCCTTCAGCAATGTCCCTGATTTTACTGTTTTATGAATGAGGGGTAAAATTTTACGTTTTGCGGTAGCAAAAGCCTGTGAGTATGCTGCATGCCGAAACAGCTGTTACAGTAGCTTGTTGCGCTGTTGTTAAAATAAAGATGAAGCACAGAGCTGCCATTAAAACACAAGGAAGAAGAAGAACGCACCACTTTTAAAACAGACCAAGAAGTAAAATCAGAAAATCGTGGTCACAATTGACCGGGAGCTGCCCTGTGCTATAGTAATCGTTTTAATTGATTCCTTTTATTTGTAGTAAACTGATCCTATGATAAATGTTTGGTTCATGTCCAGGTTAAAAAATTATCAATAAAAAGAACTAAGACAAGACCATGGCTTGCTGCTGGTATGAGTAAAAGAGACTCTGCTAATCTTCCATTTATACGTCCTTGTTGGCCAGACCAGGACGACACAATGGTACACTGCACCTTTTGTAAATCCTCATTTTCCATCGGGAGTGGTGGGAGATTTGCTGTGATCGAGCATCTAAAAACAAAACAAAAAAGACAAACCCTCTTTAACAGCCAGTGCAGGTGTCCCAACATTTTTCAAAGAGGTTGAGCCTTCTCAACAAGCATATGACTTAGCCATACAAGAGGAAATCTTAGCAAACACAACCATAGTTACTGCTCCATGGACTGCACAGCACAACTGACCAGGAAATTGTATGAGCCAAAGTTTTCATGTGCTAAAACCAAAGGTGGTGCCATAGTGAGGAATATTTTTTCACCATGGCCAGCCACTCTGCTAACACAGGATCTAGAACAGGTTGAATTTGTATATCTGTCGATAGATTAATCAAATTATGAACATGTGAAGGTGCTGCCAATAAAAGATCAGATATTGCAAAAAATATCATGGCAGTACATCTAATGGAACAAAACCACTTGATTTTGTTGCATTCAGAGGAGAAAAAGCAAAAGAACTTGCAGCTCAGATCCTTGTGGTGATAGATAAATTCACCCTTGAGATGAAAATTGTGGCAATCTCCACTACCAAAAAAACTACTTTGGAGGACTGAATAGGGTCAACGTTCACACAAAGTGAAAGATTTTCAGCAACGGGAGGTTATTGGCTTCAGTTGCTCTGTCCATATCAGTCATAATGCCACAAGAACAGCTGTGGATATTACTCCCATTGATCTGGAGTACCTTCTTACAACAATCTTTGAATATTTTCATATTTTTACTGTTCGAGTAGAAAGACTGAAAAGTTTTTGTGAGTTTGTTGGCCAAGAGTATCAAAATATCCTAGGACACAGCAATGTCCATGCTCCCTGTTCCGGAAAGAGCCCTGTTGTCCTGCAAGGGATGTTTAAAGATCCACTGACTAAAATGTGGTTGGCCTTTGGATGTGGAAATCTGCCCGTATTCAATGAGCCATCAAAATGCTTAAAAGGTCAGGACCGCTGTACAACAAGACAGAACATTCTGAAATCATTGCAGTCGAATTGGCAGAGTTGTTGTCTCGAAAATATTTTTAAGGCCACCGTCGTTTGCAATCACCAGCAGTTATTCTTCTTGCACAGACATCCTGGATTCACTCGGTTTGTTGATAAATGGGTTTCATATCCAATCCTTGGACACCCATCTGGTCATGGCAGTAGCTCTATCTGTGCATATGCCAACATAAAATTACCATTATACTTTTCCTGATTTATAACCATCCATTGACTTGGACCGTTCTGAGGCAGTGGTGATGGTTGGCAACGTGCACATGACATTTCCTCATGTACCATCTCGTGATAAAGATATTGCACATAAGCAAGTAGTAGAGCCCTGTTTTTAGCATCTGTTGATTCGTCAACCAGGAGTGCATACCAAGTTGATGTGTAAATCTTCTCCAACAATTGTTTCTCAATGTCTTAATGATAATAATAATAATAGGTCATTGAAATCAGGGGTAAAGCTAGTTATTTATTATCAGTTGAATGATTATAACTGTAATTTTCTTACTGACCAGGGTTTTAGCCCCTTTCCTAAAAGAGTTAGACTCCTCAATCCGGCTGTTAAAAATCCAGTTGTTTTTCACCAATTTAGTAATTTAGGTTAAAGCTCTTAGCAACGTAATGCTACTAAAAAAAGAGTGAAGCCAGCCTGATTGATAAATCATTCACTGTGTAAAATGAACCCACCTTTAGGAACATTTAACCATCAGCTGTTGAATCAGAAAGCTTATTTCAAATAAAAACACCAACACAGCTATATATTCTACCTGTAGTTCCCCCAAACAGAGCACTTATTAAGCATCAGATGGAAATGAGGGGGACGGATGCAGTTACTGTTTTTGGTTCAGTGGAGGGAAGGCCTTCAGCTCGGTCTGATTTCTGCAGGCCTGTCTTCGGTCCAGTCCCTTCGTTCAACACCAACTCAAAAAGATTTGGAACAATCCGATGCAACAATAAGAGGAGATTTGCGAGGGGATTACTTTTATAACGCACATAGCGCAGGACATCTCCCTTTTAGCTACAGTGGTTAGCACATAGCCACGGCTTGTAGCAGCGCTTCCATGGCGCTGCTCCATCCCTCTGTCTCACAGTGGTCAAGGTACGGGGGCTTCTAACGGCTTTTTTGCAAACAACGATCGGCCCAAGTTGTTCGGCGGTTAGTAGAGCTGGATTAGCTCTGTTCTGTCTCTGCTGCAGAGGTGGTTTGAATCTCTGGAAGAGTAAAAACACTGCGTTCAGCTCCTTCTGAATCACAGGAAAAAGGCAGTCTGACTTAGTCCAGCGAGCGCAGACTTCACTGGAGGGGTATTGGTTGCTACGTAGAGTAGCCTTCAGCTGGAGCACTTTGCCTAGCCTTTAGTAGCACAAAGCCATTGAAAAAATAGGACGCTAATATGGGGAGCTAGTGTTTTTGAAACTTACACCGGAGGGGTGTGTCTTCAGAGCTGCATAGTTCCGGTCACATCAGCGAGAATGTATCGCTACAATGGAGAGCAATATTAATTCTTCTCCAACAGTGAATTGCTTTTTAGATTTAGCAATGCGGTTAGCCACCAAGTATGATGTCCTCAGTGCATTCCCATTTATTGCTGTGGGGACTGCCAGTAATTTTTTCTGTCCTTCGTGTTCCAGTTTGTTTTCTTTCAAAAATCTCCAGGAGCTTGTCTTTTATTCCTGGATGCATGGTCTCCAAGTGGCGCAGGAGTTTTGAAGGGTTCATCTCTGCATATTACGCAGAGTATTCATATCCATTCGTATCCGCATCCATATTTCAAGTATAGGTCCTGGTATTGTCTGTTAAAAGCTTTCATTTACTTTTAAGTTATAGGCTTTGCTCTGTCTCTTCATTAGGCCTTTACCCCTTCACGAATAAACGTTCCAAAGATATCTGCTTTTTAATCATTTTGCCAACTTGTGGGTTACATTTTTGGCACTCCTGTGACCAAGATGTAACCGTGAGAATCTGGTTAATTTTAAAAATAAAAGCTTTTACAAAATTAAATCTTATTATGACTCAGAGAATAAATACAATGGAAATAATTAATTATTACTTGGGCAGACAACAACTCGACAGTGCCAGTTGCTCCACGGACCGGTAGCGATCGGCGGCCCAGGGTTGCGGACAACTGTTTTAAACAACTTCCACTGTCTCCTGTTAAAGAAGACGCCCCTGGGTCATTTGATCCAGAATGCAACAGCTTCACTTCAAGAAAAACGCTGTAATATCACCGTCGGAGAAGATGATTTCTTTGACAACGTCTCTGCCTATTACAAGTTCCTTAAAGGGGGATCGTTTAGTGAATGGAGAAAATCTGAGACACCACTGAGTCAGAGATGGAGCAAAGTGTTCAACCACTTTAAAGAAAATGACATCCCATACACTAACCTGGCTAGATAGTGTCTGCTGCCATGTGCCTACTGGAAGTAATGCACCAGTAGAGAGGGTGTTCTCCTATATTTAGGATATACTTAAAAAAAGCATATGAGTGACACTTAAATGTATTTTCTGTTCTTTTATCTACTATGTGAAATGAGCAACACAAGTTTCTGCAATGCCGCCTTTATTTATGACAGTGCTCAACATCCTCCTTTCCCTTCTGTCTTCATGTTACTTAATGCTAAACAATTTTGTTAATAAACACATTGATCTAGGGCCTTTAAGCCTTGATATTTTTTTTTTACCTTTGGCCAATAATGTTTGTTTTGCTTTTTTTGCTTTTACTATTTGCCATTTCAGGCCAGAGGACGGAGAAATCCACCCTGAGATATGCAGGCTCTTCATACAGTTACAGTGCTGTCTGGAAATGTACATCACAGAGATGTTGAAATCTGTCTGCCTATTGGGATCCCTGCAGCTTCACAGAAAAGGTTATTACAAACATAGATTGTATGACAGTTCATGTGTTAAATTATTTATATTATTCTGCAGAAAGCAATAACAGATATGTTATTTTTATCATGACAACTGCACGATTTTCGAGTGTTTGTTGTGGCTTTGAATTCTGTTACACTAACAACCATTATTTGTACTTTTAAGTTACAGTAATCCAGTGAGCTACTGCTAACTTTTGATCAACTGGGGCTATTAGATGCACAGTATCAAACTTTTTGTCCCTGTTTTTTAGGTAAAGATTCATGTACTCCCGGAGTCGATTGTAAAACTGAAGACTCTGAGATCCCAATCCTGGAGGACACCTCTTCCTCACCCACTGATTGTCCTCAGCTCTGTTGGCTAGTGGCTAGTGACATAGAAAGCATTGAAAAGTAGGTAGCCCACATACATCTTCCACAACTTTAGTTTTTGCAACTTTTGCTTATTTGAAAAATATATTATATATATATATATATATATATATATAATAGATGTATTGTTTTTATTAGTATACTCTATAATCAGTATTTTTAATTGTAGTCATATGAATAAGTTAGCACATCCTTAGGTAAAATGTATATTTAATATGTTTAATCCACTTTAAAAACTTTAAACACTTCGGGATTAAATAGTATTCAATTAAGTTTATTAATATAACAAAGAGTGACATATAACACAGAGTGACAACATATGACTGAACTTACAGCGTAGTCATACAGATACAGTAGATTCAGTTTTTTATGTAAAAAATCCAGCTGATTTTATTGAGCCATTGACTTTGCTGGATTTACTCCTACTGGATGAGCATGTAGCTACATTGGAAGTTTTCTTGCACAGTGTTGTTGAATTGGCAGCAATCCCTCACGTTGAACATGCATTCAGCAGCAGTGGAGAGAAAACATTCTCTTAACAGCAAGAAACTTAGAGCAGATTCAGGCTCAGTGTGAACTGCCTTCTGTCATGAACAACTGGTGTCTGAGGACAGGAACATAGAAGCACTGATCCAATATACCTTCTGTAGTAGAAAAGGTAATGGTGCTGTGAGATGCTCAAAAGCATGAAAATGCACGGTCAAAGTAAGGCACAGTAATAGCTAAAACAATAGCTATGGCTTGGAAAAAAGCAGCACTAAACAATAAATGATAAATCTTGAGGACAGGGTTTGGAGAACCCTGGTCTAACTGATCCCTTCTGATTCGACATAATGATAACAAATGTTACGCTGCACTCAAGTTGAACAAAAAGAAACATTGTTAACAAATTTAACATAGAACTGCTTACGATTCATGTAATCACAAAGCAAGGCTCATACAAATATATAAAACAAATGGTCAAGATCAGCAAAAAACATCTGCCAGTGGTTATATTGGTCTATCTCTAGTGTGTACTTCAGAGATTTTGTAATGTGGGATATCACAAGTTGTGATACAAAATAACACCAAGGTTTCTTTTATTCGAGGACAGGTCAATAACATCTGAAAGAAGTGACTGAATGAGTGCATGTCAGTCCAAAGACAGTAACTTCTTATAGTCTGAATCCAAAAACAGAAATTTTCAACTTATCATCTTAATCATCAAACCAAGTATACATACCGTACATTGCATTAATCGTGATTAATTGATTATTGAAGTAATCGTTAACTAATTTAGTAATTGATTACTGGAGTAAAGAAACTTTAAAATATGGCTTTATATGACAGAGAAACCCACTTAGAGTAGTAATTATATCCAAATTGTAAAAAATATATTAAGATTTTGCATTTAAGATAAAAAAATAAAAAATAGTCTATCAATATGACTCCTCAAGTGGAAAAGTTATAGTTTCACCTGGTTTAATTTAATAAAGAATCTTCTTAAGGAACCTTGGCTATCCAAATATTATTAATATATATATATATATATATATATATATATATATATATATAGCCAGTTGACTGAAACTAGTCAAAACGTTTAGTTATCTGTTGCATATCTATAACACCTTTGTTTATAGATATTTATATTTATAGATATATTTTTCGGTGTAGTCCTGTTTCATTGACTGTGACTGGCTGGATGTGCTCTCTTTATTCTCTAACATGGGAGTTGGCTCAGAGCTTGTCTGCCTAGCTGTGTGTTTCCTGGTCTGCCTTTTACAGTTGCCTTTTGCATCTCTGCTTCTGACTCCTTGAACCCCAGTCGGCCTCGGCAGATGGACGCTCCCACTGAGCATTGTTCTGCTGGACATATTTTCCTGTTAAAAGGAAGGTTTTCCTCCCTGCTGTCACTACAAGCATGATTAGTGTGAGGGATTGCCTTCGAGAGCTGAGTCAAAAAGCGAAGCTCTCGATTTACCGGTCGATCTACGTTCCTACCCTCATCTATGGTCATGAACTCTGGGTCATGACCGAAAGAACGAGATCGCGGATACAAGCGGCCAAAGGGGTTTCCTCCTTAGAGATGCTTAGAGGGTGAGAAGCTCGGTCATCTGGGAGGGACTCAGAGTAGAGCCGCTGCTCCTCCAAGTCGAGAGGAGCCAGTTGAGATGGCTC